ATGAGGCAAATTTACTCATCGCTGAGTTCGTGCACTTTATGTGATTTATGAGTTGACTAAACTCAAATTTGGGTCGTTTCCATTCGCCGTGTGGATAATAGAGGGTGCCAGTGTGCTTGCAAAATACGCTTGACGATATTTTTGAAGAATTCTCCTATGTCTGTTTTTCTGTGCTATTAATTTCCTTAAATCGTTTAAAGGCTTCTTTAAGAGCCGTCATCACTAACAGTATTGCTCAGACTTGGTAAAAACACCGCTCGGTGCGGCTCGGTGGCAACCTACTCATGTATGCACAGCACTGGGTTTCTTCGATAAAGCACCCGGTGTCGGTGCAACATGTTGGCACGCCACCGAACCAAAAGAGAAACCCAAACGCGGTGCTACGGGCTTCGGGTCGCCACCGTGCGGCACGGAGCCAACGGAGCTCATGATTTCGTATCGTTCGTTGTTGGTGATGCGCTATACTCGGTCCCATTTGCGTTTTTGTCAAAACTGAGTTTTTCAATGGAAGTGGTAGCAAGTATAGCTCATAGTTTCATTATACTCGATGAACTCAAGAAATTTGTTCTGAAATAGTTTAGAAAAATGGGCAAGTACAGGGGTTACTCAAAATAACTAGGATAGGCAAATTTTTGGTCAATTTTGGAGTGTTGTAACTTCGTCAAATATGATCCGATTTTTAATCTTCCAAGAGCATTTGACTGGAAAACTAATATTGTTCAACGGTGTAGCCACGAAAATAATCCTGGTCACCGGATACCGGAGATATTTCGGGTTTCCGGAGGGCTTGCCTATAACTTGCTAAATTTTTGGTGAAATTTTATATATGATGCTGGTTAAATATATATATTTTTAGTAAATACACTGGAGTCGCTTTTTACGCGGGTGATACGTCCCGCGTAAAAAAAAAACCGCGTAAAAAAAACCGCGTAAATTCTGGAATCCGCGTAAAAAAAAACCGCGTAAATTCCGAAATCCGCGTAAAAAAAACCGCGTAAAAAAAGACCGTGTAAGAAAAAACCGCGTAAAAAGCGATATACCAACAATCAATACGAAACTAACGATTTTAAATTGGCTCACCACTTTAGTAGCCTATTGGTCCCAAGCAAACGATTAACGTACCCTATTCTAGTTGAAATTCTATTACTACACTATGTTTGTTTTGATTCGCTATGAAAGTTTGACAGATAACATCAGGGGTGTGTGGATTTATGCAGAACATGCAGGGGTGAGTGAAATAGCTTGGGACTGCTTGGGACCGTTGTTCTGGTACTAAGTGAGCCAAAAATAATAATGATTTTCTTCGGGACCTACTAGTCTTAGAGTTACCTCTATGGATATACCGCGTCTATTTTGAAATCCGCGTAAAAAAAAACCAAAATCCGCGTAAATTCTGGAATCCGCGTAAATTCCGAAATCCGCGTAAAAAAAAACCGCGTAAAAAAAAAACCGTGTAAAAAAAACCGCGTAAAAAGCGACTCCAGTGTACAACGAAAGAAGAACCACTTTTAAAGCAAATCATATGCCAAGAACTAAAATCGGCTCATAATCAACCGAGATATGGCCATTTCCTTGGAATCGATTCTAGTGAAGGGTTCGGAATGCGGGCAGATCATTTAATCACTCAAAACATGCCGTGCGACAGCTCTTTCTTCATGGTTTCTCGTCAATAGACTTTCGATAAAGTTTAAATGCATCATTGACCACATTGGCCACTCTCAGAACATCCAGTATGCCCCCGGGGGAACCTGGAGCAGGGGACAATTGCATTTTTACACCAAAACATGGTTTTTCAAGAATAGGCTTTCCATAAACTTCAAATGAATCATTGACCACATTGGCCGCTCTTGGAATCACGGGATACCCCCGAGGGATCCTGTAGTAGGGGTCAATTGCGTTTTGACACCAATACATGCCGTGCGACAGCTTTTTCTGCAAGCTTTTTCATGAATAGGCTTTTGATAGCCTTTAAATGGATTAGTGACCACATTGGCCGCTCTCGGGACCTCCAGTATGCCCCCGGAGGAACCTGGAGCAGAGGACAATTGCATTTTTACACCAAAACATGCCGTGCGACAGCTCATTCTTCATGGTTTTTCATGAATAGGCATTCATTAAACTTATAATGGATCAGTGACCACATTGGCAGCTCTCGGAATCACGGGATACCCCCGGGGGAACCTGTAGTAGGGGGCAATTGCGTTTTGACTCAAAAACATGCCGTGCGACAGCTCTTTCTTCATAGATTTTCATGAATATTCTTTCTTTAGACTTAAAGTGAATCATTTACCACATTCGTCGCTCTCAGAACCACTGGGATGCCCCGAGAGAACCTGTAGCAGGGGACAATTTCGTTTTAACTCAAAAACGCGCCGTGCGACAGCTCTTTCTTCATGGATTTTCATGAATATTGTTTCCATAGACTTAAAGTGAATCATTTACCACATTGGCCGCTCTCGGGAAAGTTGACCAAAAATTTGCCTATCCTAGTTATTTCGAGTAACCCCTGTAGGTTTTCCCTTTACATAAGAATCCATGGTGCTAAGCAAACTTAAAACGCGTTCTCAATTGCGTCCGTCATTTCTCTCGACAGGAACAGGGTCCGTTCGGATACGGATGTGTTGGCCATTTTCGAAATGTTGAAAATTATGAATAACCGGGTGAAGCAAAATGTCTAGATCAACCATAGAAAAGGGCCCATCAGCATTTGTAAACAAATCGTTCTAAAGCCCTTTCCTAAAATTTGTATGGGCCGTGGATAATTACAAACCCCCCCCCCCCCTCTAAACTGTCTACGTAGTTTATGAACAGCCTCTTATTTAGAAAACTTTCTTTAGTTTACGCAGCGCGGCACAACATGTCGTAGACGAGAATGATGAGTGGTAAAATTAGCACCAGAGCACCAAAGAAGTTCTGTATTAACAATAGAAAAGGGCCCTTCAGCATTTGTAAACAAACCGTTCTAAAGACCTTTCCTCACTAAGCGAAGGCCGCCTACGCAAACCAACACCATCATCGGATAAAGTGGACCCTACACGATTGCTTTTATTGACAATAATCGTATTGTCAATACTTTATTTATTGACGTCAATACATCGAGATTGACAATATTTCTGAATTCACATCATCAATATTATTGTCAATAATTCCCCTTCGCGTCAATATATTGAAACGTGTGGGGTTCGCTTAAGGGAAAGTTTCCCCTACATGATATGGCGTTGGTTTGCGTGGGTGGCCTTCGCTTAGTGAGGAAAGGTCTTTAGAACGGTTTGTTTACAAATGCTGAAGGGCCCTTTTCTGTTGTTAATACAGAACTTCTTTGGTGCTCTGGTGCTAATTTTACCACTCATCATTCTCGTCTACGACATGTTGTGCCGCGCTGCGTAAACTTAAGAAAGTTTTCTAAATAAGAGGCTGTTCATAAACTACGTAGACAGTTTAGAAGGGGGGGGGGGGTTGGTAATTATCCACGGCCCATACAAATTTTAAAATTTGTGTATGGGCAATTGTCTACGCAGGGGGCGGGGGGTCAAGAATCCCAAAAAAACTGGCTACGTAGTTAATGCACAGCCCCTAACGTTATAGTGAAGCAAATTGTATTCGCCAGTGAAAATAAGAACAAAACAATTAACTTGTAATTGACCTTTACGGAAAAAAACTATGGTTTTAAGGCAATTATATCTGCCGCATTAATGCTACATGGTGAAAATCGCTGTTACATTAATTCGCATTGACGGCATTGGCTCTTCACAGTGTGATAGTTCCTTAGGTGCTGTTCATAAAATACATAGACAGGTTGGAGGGGGGGGGTTGGCAATTGTCCACGGTCCATACAAATATTTAAATTTCAGGGGGGATCAAGAATCCCAAACAACTGTATACGTAGTTAATGAACAGCCCCTTTGAGATTTTTCATTTGAGCGACAGAGTACGGAACAGCCCGCCATGCTTCACGCACAGAATGACAGTTGTTTGTGGGGTTTTCCCATAGGAGTAAAGAGGTACAGTATCGCCGGAAAGGTCAATCAGAAAAGGAACGAAAAAAAAAATAGCTACAGGTAGACTGCGATAATGGAAACAAAGAAGAAGAAGCACGGTATTCAGTCTGGCACCGGACCCTGGCACGGAGCCGCACGGAGCGCACCGAATAACCATAGCACGGCACCAAGCCGAATAAAACGGCTCCGCGTTCAGGTTTCTTGTTCGTATCGGTGGCGAGCCGACAAGAGGTACCGAAACCGAGTGCGTGTTAGCTTTGAACAGGGAGCAATATTATTGGACAGCTCGCAGTGCCGGTGGGTGTTTTTCCAAGTCTGGTATTGCTTTCCGATTCCTATCTTTTTTCATTGTTACGTAGTCTTTCTGTCCATGCATCACCCGACTTGTTTTGTCGTCCTCGAAAAACTAAACAATAAGCTCCTTTGTTACATCTTTCAAACCATGCCCCGATCTGTGAACTGCTATGTTGTATTGTTAAATTCATCCACTAGTTTTTTGTATTGTCCAGTACTGGCAACTTTTTCTTTCAATTGAAAAATTACTTCTTCAAAATCCGCTGTTACACTAGTTTGCCCCTCCTGCGACCCTAGTTGGAAAAGGTGCCTTCTGACTATTTGGTTGACTTGCTCAATTTTTTGTTCAGACTGAGAATTCACCCAAAATAACAAGGTCCCAAGGTATCAAGACTTTTAATCTAAACTGTAGAACGCCCTGGCATAAAAGGCTTTCTTTCGATCAACGAAGTATGTCCACGCACGTGTTGTGGAGTCTTCCATTTAATAAGTAATCAAAAGTTATAACTACGAATCAAGCAACCGAGTTGCTTTCAAAAAATCAAACAAATCAGTTAAACCAATGCTAAAACAATAGCTATTAGGAAAGCAACAAATATGTTTGTTTTTGTACCTCTGAAACTAAAGGTAACATACCCCCACATGGTGATGCGCACGGAACGAAACGAAACGGAGTAAAGCATCCAATCAGTCAGTCTCCTTTTGCCGTAGGAAGAGCCCCACCGGCAATCTTCTAGCATCCACTCGTCGCCGTCGATGGCGTCGTTTTGTTGGAATCCACGTCCGACGCTACGGCTTCAGTAGCAGCACTAGCATGGCTATCATCCATTGCGACCGTTACGTTCGCGGTCTGCTCACCAGCCACCAACGGTAGGATGCTGCGGATCGTGAGGGTTTCCTTCACCAGATGGACCGTGACGCGAACCTTGGAGAACAGCATCAGCGATGTCGGAAGGAACTTCTTTTCCTTCGGAATTAGGATACAATGACGGATGGGCTTGGCTTCTTCGGTGATTTTGAAATCGGCCGACTTGGACAGTTGCTGCGGAATAAGAAATGGGGTATCAGTGATGCGGTGGATTGTTGTATGGGGGAAAACCGAAAATACCTTGTAGCTAACTTTGATCGCGTGTCCAGTCTCCATTAGCACCAGTTCGATTTGTTGCGGACCAATATCCAGAACGGCAGCCTCCGTGTGAATGAATTTGACCTGTTGCAAGTAGTGTTTGAAGTAGAGCATAGAACTGGCCTCTCCGGCAAGCTTGGCGTTGTACTTCTTAACGTTGCATATCCCGGTCAGTTTGCTGAGTTCTTCTGGTGTTCGTTCGGGTGCTACGTCAACTTCCAGGGCGGCACCGAGAACTCGGTGTGCCAGACAATCGGCGTACCGGCGGATGGGACTGGTGAAATGTGTGTACATTGGAATGGCCAGAGCAAAGTGGAAGAATTCCTCCGGCGCTGAGGCGAATGCTGAGCAGAAGTAGCGCGCCCGAGTCATCGGCTTGGCGATCATGATGTTCAGCACAGCACGAGCTGCGTCTGGATTGGGACATGAGTCGATTATCGCTTCGAAGGATTCGGCGATTGCTTTGGAGGAATCTGTCCTCAAACTGTGACCATGCTTGGACATCAATTTCGTAAGATTCTTCATTTGATGGTCCTGCGGAGCGAAGTGGCTGCGCAGAATAGAAGTGCTAGGAAACTTTGAATGCGTGAATTCTGCAACTGAAGCATTGGCGAGAAGCATAAAGTCTTCGATCATCTGGTTCGCTGTACGCAGTTCGTAGATGGAGTATTCCGTGGGTTTTCCCGTGTTGGGATCCAAGGAGAAGGACAGTTTCGGTTGGTTGATCTTCAAGCAACCGTTTTCCATGCGACGTGCTCTGAGCTGAACCGCGATCGTTTGCAACTGATTGACGATTCGGCTGAGGTAGTTTGGACTGTAACCGTGTCGAATTTGTGGGAAGTCTTCCTCCTTCAGGTCATCGTTCGGATTTTCCAGCATAATCTGAGCATGCTCGTAGGCGAGCTGCGTACAGGAATTGATAACAGTTTTGGCGAATCGAGTTTTCAGCACCTTTGCGGCCGGAGTAATTTCCCAGAAAACGGAAAACGCTAGCTTATCTTCGCCTGGCAGCAGTGAGCACAGGAAGCACAACGGTTTGGGCAGCATGTGGTATACGCTATCTACCATGTAGATCGAGGTGGCTCTCAGTTTCACCAGTTCGTCCAGGTCCGTTCCTTCCCGCAGGAAGTATGAAACGTCCGATATGTGTACACCAATTTCGTAGTTGCCGTTCTTCAGTATCTTGCAGCTCAGAGCATCGTCCAGATCTCTGGCTGTAAGTGGATCAATCGTGAATATGCACTCGTCACGAAGATCTTCGCGCTTGGCAATTTCCTCGGCCGAAATCTGAAACTCCGATCCAGGCAAACTGTTCAATATCTCTTCCGAGTACGGCGTAACGTCCAAATCGTACTCCACCAGAATTGCCTGGCTTTCCACCTCCAGCTCGCCACTTTTCCCTATCGACTTCAGAATATTCGCAATCGGAACATCGTTGTGCCATTCAATGATCTCCGCTTGGTAGATCACCGATTCGACCTCCTTGAATTCATTCTTGAAGATCGCTTCCGGCCAGTTCTGTTTGAAAATTTTCATGCACGGGATTCTGTAGTCCCTTGGAGCAAACTTAATGTACTGAGACACTTTATCCTTGAAGGGCATAAACGTTCCCACACACAATCGACTGTGCCGCTTCTCCAAGATCTCAACCACAAAACCTCTGTTGTTCTGCACCCGCTCTCCATTCTCTTCTGTTGATTCATTCTTGTTCTCCGGATTTCTCGGTGGACTGGTTTCCCCTCCTTCCGGTTGTGGATCACTGTGCTTCACGAACACTTTCACGTAGTCACCGTCCATGGCACACCTGCGCAGCAGAATCGAGTTGATGAAGACGTTCGCCTGTCGAGTGTTATCGTCTACGAAGGCCTGTATATTGTTGTTCTGGTTGATGCGTATTACACCCTCGACCAGGTAGCCGACACCTTCCTTGACCAGCCGTTCGACCAGCACTGCCAGGGCGGCCTTGTTCTGCTCGGTTAGGTAGCCGTTCTTCTCCGCTTTGGACACGTTCTCCAGCGTGAGTTCCTGCTTGTAGTCCTTTTTCTCGGTTGTTTTGCCGTTGTTCAGCAGGTAGGATACTTCGTCCTCGAATGTACGCGCTTCCCAAACCTATAGCGGATGGCATGTGGATGAAAGATTATAGAGTGAATGCAATAGGTATCTTTTATCTTCTGAAATTCACCAGCCTCAGATCTGGTAGAAGTACTCTCCACAATCGTGGAGAAACTCAGCATTATCATGAATTCAGAACTACGAAATGAATCTCCTTAAAACTCTGGACGAAGTTCCCAAATTACTTCTAGTCGAAGAACTTTTCCCTGGATTTGAAGTGCTCAAGTTGAAGCCGTCTAAAAATATTCATTGTTTTACTTTCCTACACCGAAAATAGTTTTCATGTAGCTTCCATTGGAAACTCACATGATTTTCATCCATCATCAAAATTAATGGAATTCATCTGAATTTCACATAACATTTATGCGATCACATTAATTTTATATGATTTTTCATATGAATTTCATCGGCCTCATAATATTCATGTGATTTTGTGGAGGGATTTGTAGCTATATGATCACAGGAAAGCTATATGAAAATCACATGGATTTCATCCATTAGATATGTGATAAATTTTTTTAGTGTACATGATTGGTAAAATCATTATAGCATAGACCAACGGACATAACACTCGCATACTTGGCGCTGTGGCGCTCATAGTCAACTGCTTAGGCATTTGACGAGCGCCATCTTATAAGCGTGCTACAGGCGATAATGTTTTAGTAACGGTGTTTTTCAGTGATAAATATGCTATGTGTGTCTGTTTGTCTGTGAATATAATTTGTAAAGCAGTTATGAATAAAGATTGAGACATATTTCCCATCTATACCTTGAAATTTAGCGTTCAGAATCATAAGGACCTAACTGCGATGATCGAATCTCTTTTTCGATCATCTCTTTTCTGTAGTAAAGCAAAAAGAAAATCTATGAAGAGAATTGAGCATCGCAGTTAGGCCCTTATGATTCTGAACGCTAGAAATGTACGCTAGGTTTCCAAGCCGTACCTATTCAATACCTTTGTTTTTCGTACGAAAGAGAAAAACGTAGATTATGCAGTATGTCCGAGTACTCTTTATTCATATTGTGACGAATTCAATCAGTTAATTGCAATGTTTTTTTAAATTTCGCTATTTATTCGAAATGATTCGAAAAAAAAGAGTGATAAATGAATCAACTAAAAAAAAATACAAAAGTTCCATCTAAAGAAAAAAAAAAAAAACCAAGAGAACTCAACGACCTACCTTCTTGGTGTCCTGGATCTTCTCGGCATTCTGAATCGTCAAAAACGGTCTGCTGATATCGCTCACATTGGCTTGCTTCATCTGCGGTCCGTAGCAGTGCACCAAGGCAGCCCGTTTCAATTCGATGGCAAAGGGGACAAACTTTGGGTTCACCTGGACTGAATCGGTTCCATCTCCGGTTGTTTTTTGTTTCTTGCTGGGAACGGGGGCCAACAGGGCACGCTCCTTACCGATCTTGATCAGATAATCGTCCCGTTGCTTCGGATCCAGCGTGAGCAATGTCAATAGCAGCATATTGTCGGGCTTGATCAAGTGCGGGGGCACCGTCAGTGGCACCGGTCCCGGAGCCACTGCTGGAGCCGTTTGCTTTTTCGGTTTGAATTTACCGTTCTGCTTCGACTCGGAAGCGCTCAACAGGGTGGATGCGCTGTCTGCCTTCTTCAAAGCAGCGTTTCGATCTTTTTTCTTCTTTTGCTCCTTCGCCGTCACTGGTGGACCAGCAGTCTGTGTAGAACCACCTGAAGCCACGCTCAAATTCTTAATTTTATTCTGAATTTCCTTAATCCTATCCTTCATGGCAGCAGCCTTTTCGTCATACTTCTTTCTTGCTTGCGGATCGGTTTTGACAGCCTTCTTCGCATTGGCATTCGCCTTTGAGCTATTCCTACTCGATCCAACGCTTTCGCAGTCGTCGTCAGCCTCAACGACTAGTGCGTGTCCATTGACCACTGCGTCGTTCTTTATTCCATCCAGATCGTTGCAGATCTTTTTCTTAGCTTTCAACTTGTCCTTGACTGTCTCCAGTCTGTTCAAAATATCCTTCTTCAAATCTTCGACACTCATCTCGGCCTCTCGCTCTGCAGCAAACGGAACCGTTTCCTCATCTGCCAGATTTGCCTTCACTTCCTCACCTCCTTCCTTTTTCTGCTGCTGATTATAATCCTCCTTTTCCTTCGGTTCCACCTGCGTAGGAACTAGCTTGACAAACTCAAATCCCGGATCGACCTCAGCCGGATCGGTTGCCACCGGTCCGGTGAGCCATTTGTCATCTTCCAGCGGTTTCAACTCCGGTGGAGGTTCATTTTGCTCTAGCATCTTAGTGGTGCTGTTCTTAATTTCTTCTCTTAATCCACGGAAAAATTCCTTATCGGACATTATCTGCGGAGGGAGAAAAATAAGTACCTGTGACATTGCGTGGAAGTGAAAGTTACTAGGTATTCGTCACAAAGAAAGTTGCAATGTTATGAAATTCATTTTTCTTCATATTCAACTTACCAATGGTTTGAAATTCACTGAAGTATTGCATAGAAATGCAAAATGCAGATATTAATACAGAAATATTCAATAAAATCGATTAGTTTTCGTAAAATAAATCAAAATTTCGATAGCGTCGACAGAGAACGAGTGGCAGATCTAAAGTTGGTGCGCACAGAAAACAAAACACATAATGTCATTTTCAGAACTGTCACACGGCGGTGTTTCACCGTTTTACCGTTTATGGTGTTTGCCGGGACGACGAATAAGAGTTATGCCGTCGAAATGTGTTGTATGCGGTACCTCGTGCGGTACTGTCTATGAGCACAAACGAAGTGACAGACTGGCGAAGAAATCAATTAAAATAATGCGGTTCGCTATAATAGACTTTTCTTAGAAGCTTGTGCCATCAGCCACCAGATGGGCTAGTATTTTGTAATTTGTAATTTGTAATTTATTGATAGCATAACGAAAACCTGTCAGTTACAGAACCATAAATCATTTTTGTTTTGATTTGAACAAAGTTGATTTTGTGTGCAATGATCTTTGACAGTGTTCAAAGAGTGTATCATTTCAGGCATAACATTTGATAACGGCACAAAAGCATTTGTAAACAAACTTTCTAAGGCCGTTTACACGTGAACCAAAGTACACCCACGCAAACCAACAACATCAATGGATACACAGAAAAAAAAAAGTTGTTGAATATTTCATCCAAACTGCTGCAACCAGGTCAATCCATCGGTTGTGTAATATATCGTTGTACGATGTACATCGATTTTGCGAAAATAATTACATCCATTGATGTAATATTGTATCTGCTTTTTGCTATTACATCATTATTTCATACATCAGCTTGAATTACATTGATCGATATTACATTTTTTTTTGCTGTGTAGGGGCAATTATCACCTTTCCGAAAGATGTATTGCGTACTTTAGTTCGCGTGCAAAGGGCCTTAGAAAGTTTGTTTACAAATGCTTTTGTGCCGTTATCAAATGTTATGCCTGATTTTGTCATTTTTTTTATGTATTTCAGTTTTGAGTAGAGTGAAAGAGATAGAACCAAAACATTCTAGAACATTTGGTGAAAATGCAAGTACAATCATAGAGGTAACTCTAAGACCGGAGATCCCGAAGAAACGAGCTAAACTTTTTGGCTCCCCAACAAACATTGAATGTTTAATAAGAGCTTATTCAGGCAAAAATAAGCTTCTTCAGCTACAAAACGGCTTATTCAGCTCTTAATCAACTCAATTTGTTTGTTGGGTCAGCTCTGGTACTATCTTCGGTCCCAAGCTAATCGAAGCACCCCTCGAAACATAGGAAAATCCACGAACCCCTCATTTTATCGGTCAAACTTTTATAGCGAATCAAAACAAACATAGTGTAGTACTAGAATTGTGACTAGAATGGGGTACGTTAATCGATTTGCTTGGGACCAATAGGCTCAACATAGGCTAGTCAAGTAGTGAGCCAATTTAAAATCGTTAGTTTCGTATTGATTGTTGGTACAATCCAGTGGTAGTGTTGCCATTACAAAAGCAAATTGGTCACCAAAGCTTTCGAGGCCTCCGTCTGTCACTTCGTTTGTGGTCAAGGGGTTATTTAGCGTCAACTTTTCTCACAGTGTACCTCGGTGTGCCACAGCTGTGCAGGCAGTGTCGGGAAATAATTGTACTGACTTTTGTTTGCTTGTGAATAATGAATTGTTTGGCAACCCGATATTTTAACAACAAACTCTTGATTTTGTTTTGTTTTTCGAAACCTGAGACCTCAATTGACGACGACGGTTTTGAGCGGCCGGAGCCAAAAAGCGACTGTGCGGTCAAGAAAGTGGTGGACGCTTTGTGCTAGTCACGATTGTCGGATCTTCGGAATCGAAAGGAGCTAAGCGCAAAGCCATTCCGGAGTGATTTGAGATTTGCGCGTAGCTGCTTTTGTAGACAAACATGTCAATCGCCGATTTCTCGCGAATAAAAACTCAATCTCGTAAACAAATTTTACCAAATGATAGAGGAATCATCGCTCTCGTTTTCGAGATTGAGCTTTTATTCGCAAGAAATCAGTGATTGACGTGTTTGTTTACAAAAGCAATTACGCCCTAATCACGAAGTTCTCCGGCATTCCAAGCGACGAACAGACAAAAACACCAACGGAGATCAAAACCATGAAGCAGCTGTACAAAGATGGAAGAGATGCTAATCGAGGTGAAGGTGAAATTCAAGGTGTTAAATTATATTGAGCGTTGGTTGGGCGATTTCCGGAAGTTTTTGAGGACGGTAAAAGATGCGGACAATGAACTTTCTCCGAAAGAGGTGGATTATGAAGGGATTGATTGCCAGACATCGGAACCGAGACTAGATGATTCAAATCGGCATTGGTAGGGGTGGTGAGCTTCAATGTTCGCTACTTAGCGTAGCGTTGTATGGCTCTACGACGGTGGGGGAGACTTTGTGCGCTGGAACGAAGGAGGCCGGGTTCATGATGCAATCCGTGTATTCTTCTCGAATCTTCGAGATCAGTCGCGTGCCCATGCCTGTGGAGAGGAAGGGATTTTTTGCTACTGCATTCCGCAAACATTACAAAAGATTTTAAATTTACCTGAGCCAGTTCCACCGCCGAGCGAGTGCGCAAGCTGAAAGGCCTGCAGGCAATCGCAACTCTCAGATTCCCTAGGGACAACATCCAGCACAGAATTCACCAGTTCGGCACCCTCCCAAGTAGCACGCTTGTCACAAATCTGTTGTGGCATCTTCTATACAACTTATATTAGTCATAAACAAGTTGCTGCAACTTATTGTGACGGAAATGTGCTACTCGGGCTTGGTGTAGTGTCGTTTGACCCAGTTGTTACTGTGGCATACCGGCGCATTTAGCACAGCGTCAAGCTGTCAAGTGACGGTGCGATGTTTTGTTGACACCCAACTGGCAGCACTGCTGGCAGCATAAAAAGATAAACAAAATATACGGAAGAGTTCAGTTGACTCGTGAGCTTAAAGCAAACTAGTCTATTTTCATTATACGGTCCGGTAGTTTCTCCTCTATTCCCAGTGAAGTTAATACTGGCCTACGAACATAAAAGTGGCGACGGGTAGGAAACGATTACCTTCACCTTTTATTTTCGCGTGCGATTTGGGGAAAAGCGAAACCGCAGTGTTATTCGTGCAGAAAAAAGTACGCCAGCAGCATCGAGTGTGTACAACAACGGCGGGTGCATACGGAGGCATGGTGGTCATCAAGCGGAGAGATATTTTCTTTCCCAGGAGGGACTAGTTTATCCGAGGTAAAAGCCGCCGGTATTTTCCGGGTTTTAGCGGAGGCAAAAGAACCGTTCGGCAGGTAAATTAAAACTGGATAGTGGCCGCTAAATCCATCCGGAGTGACCATATCACGAGACTTGACGGAACGGAGGGTGAGTTTCCCATACGGGGCCAGTGATAAAACACTTCCCCAAGGCGGAAGAGGACTCTCAGCGTAGTCAAAGAACTGCATAGCCTGTGACTCTACTCCGGTGCCAGGATATCCGGCGCGTGTTTGAAAAGGTCGGCTGACGGTGGGCAAAGACATTTTGTTTTCGGTCGGTGAGTGGAAAACCTTTTGTTTCTTTATCCTTTGTTGGAAGTACCTTTCAATTAGGTTCCATTTTTTTCTCCTTTCCTTTCTGGTATTGGGTAATGACCATATTGTGCTGACTGCAGTCATTTTCTTTTTAGCCATTTTATTGGGGAATGAATAGTGTACTTTTATCCTTACATAAAAAAAAAGAAAAAAGAAAAAGAAAAATGAGTTCTTCTAACGTGGCCTTTACGATTGAACCATATCGTCGTGGAACCTCCTTCAACGATTGGTTTACTCGTTTGAAATATTTCTTCCGGGTAAACAAAGTGAAGGATGAAGACAGGATGGCCTATTTCGTTACGTTGAGCGGGCCAGTCATGTTCGAAGAAATCAAGCTTCTTTATCCGGCGGGAAATTTTGAACAGGCGGCTTTTGACGATTTGGTTGCCAAACTCAAAAGTCGTCTAGATAAAATAGATCCTGATTTAGTAAAAAGGTATAAATTTAGCACCAGGGTTCAAAATCCAGACGAGACCACGGAAGATTTCGTTTTGTCCCTTAAATTGCAGGCCGAATTTTGCGGCTTTGAAAATTTTAAAAATGTCGCCATACTGGATCGCATTATAGCAGGGATAAAGGACAAAAGCCTTAGACAAAGGCTGTTAAGCGAGGAAAAATTATCCTTAGCAAATGCTGAAAAGTTAATAGCCACGTGGGAGGTGGCTAAGGCAAATGCCGGAACGGCGGATGGTCTTAACAATGAGGGTTTGGTAGGAGCCATTGGCAAGGGATACGCGCAAAGGAAATGGGAAAGGACATACGAGTTAGCGCACCAGGAGGCAGGCAACAGCAGGGGGCCGGTAAGAAGCCGTTTGGGTTACACGCCTTACCATACGACGCCGCAAAGGAACGGAGGGAGAAATCCTACAACGAGTTCCGGTGAATTCAGATATGGGCAAAGGTTCAAGCAGGGGCATCGGCCGGATTATTCAGAGACGATATGCCATTTTTGTGGTATGAAAGGTCACATCAAGAAAAAGTGTTTCAAACTGAAAAACCTTCACAGAGATGCGGTGAATCTGGTCGATTCATATAGGCCAGGACCTTCAGCGGATAGGCACATCACAGAGCTGCTCGAACGGATGCGCACGGACGAGTCGGAGGAAGAGGATAGCGATTCAGGTGATTTACAATGCTTGTTGGTTTCGTCCATTAATAAAATAAGTAATCCTTGTTTAGTACAAGTGAATGTGGAGGGTAAAGACCTGGAAATGGAAGTAGATTGTGGTTCTTCCGTTTCTGTTATTAGTAGGAGGAGATATTTGGCTAAATTTGACAATCCTTTGAGTGGATATGGGAAACAGCTTATTGTTGTAAACGGAGCTAAACTGAAAATCATGGGGGAAGCAATGGTCGAGGTAGAATTCAATGGAAAGAAGAAGTCTATGCCTTTGCTAGTGCTGGACTGTGAAAACGATTTTTTTTCCGTTATTGGGTCGAACTTGGCTTGATGTTTTTTATCCCAATTGGAGGAATTTCTTCACTGAATCGTTGATTATCAACAACTTAAATCAGGAGTATGGTGGTAATGGCG